TCTTTTACTCTCTTATTTTATGGTTGTTAATTAACAAAACAAAGCAGCAACCACTTCTGTATATCATTCTGTTTTTTGTCTGCAGAGGCACTGCATGTCCATGGGGGGACATCTGGCATCAGTTCATAACCTAAGGGAGTACCATCAGATTCAGCATGTGATAAGAACGGCAAGTTATGGGTCCAACCCAGCCTGGATTGGAGGCAGTAATGCACAGAAGGTATTTTTTTACTAGTTTATTTATTTGTTAAGTATTTTGATAAATGATTGAAAGACGTTTATAGTGTTGGGTTCTTTCTTTCAGACAAGCATTTGGCTTTGGAGCGATGGAAGCCAATTCCACTACACAAACTGGTGTCCAGGAGAGCCTAACAATTGCAGAGGCAACCAGCACTGTTTGCAGATGAACTATTCAGGTAAAAGAAAATATCACACATAAGTGTATGTTTTTCAAGCAGTTAAAGGAGTAATGGGTAATTAGCAAGTTAACTATGTTAGTAAAACTTAAGCAAGAACACTATTACATTTACTGGATTAAATACAGGGGCATACATTGTTGTTTGTTTCATGTTTTTGTTTGGGAAAACGGTTGTAGAATATCAAGCTTCCTTACAATCATAGTCCTTTGTAAACAGGATTTTGTTTCTGTAATATTAACAGATTTTTTTTTTTGTGCTCAGCTTCAAAGTGCTGGGATGACTTAGGATGTTGGCTTCGTCTCCCATCCGTCTGTGCCAAGAAAGTCTGAGCAGTCCGAGAGGAAGCCTTTTTCTGGCATAAATTAGCTTGAACCAGAACCGGTGGAGGATGCTATATTGTCTTTCAGTTATTCTGCCACATAGAAATCCTTTTTTCTAAAAGCTTATTCTGTTTACTTCATATAATTACATATAAAACAAAAGGTAGATTCGAGCAGAGTGAATGTTTTATAAATGATTATTTGAGTAAAACCTTTTCTTTAGCCTTGCATTAAATAAACTTTTGAAGCATCAAAACAATATAATGTATATGGTCTATTCTCTGTCTTCATCTAGTCATATTAAGTGAATTTGTACATTTTGTTATTATTTTGTTTTTTTCACATTCAACTATTTGTCATGATGAGAGACAGGATTCCAACTAAGATCAACACTGCGGCGTGGGATCAAGGACAGGCAGGAGCTCATAAAAGAGAGGTCTTCTAATAAGAGGATTAGGAACAGGTGTGCAGGAAGGTTCCAGCTCCAGAAGACCCACAGCGCATCCTGCTGGAGACAGAGGGTAATCTCCAGATCCCCACAGTAACTC